ATTTGCACACTTAACTCAAACGAAAATTAGAAAAACCCTATCCCCTAAATCTGAAAACGTAAGCCCTTTTCTCTCCCCATTCTCTTCCTCCCCATCCTCATCCGTCCCGTTCTCATCTTCCATCCGTGCTTCGTTCTTCAGATCTAATGGCCCCACGTTCGTCTACACAACTCAGCAATAAAAGCACGCCTGTAGCCACGTGGAAACAGCACAGCAACCCCAAATGGTCCCTTCTCCACGATATGTCTGATTCAAAAGAGAAACGAGCGTGGCAGACTATCACTGAAATTTTTTTGGCTCTTGGCGTTTCTGCGCAGAGGCTGTCGATGTTGGCATTTTGCCATCAAAGATGAGGATTTAGGGACGCGGATCTCAACGGTTTAGATGGAAAGAGGCAGAAATTCTAGGGTTTTAGTTCTCTTTGTATAAAGAGAAAAAGAAAAGAAAAGAAAAGAGGATTTGGAGATCTGGAGATTGGAGACGTCGCCGACATTAAAACGGAAAAAGGGGGGGAAGAATCGAAAAGAAGAGGAGAGGTCGGAAAGGAAGTGGATTCGGACCGGCTCTGGTTTCTTTATTTTTTGGATGATCTTCCAGTCCAAATCGGCTAGTAGATCAGGGAATAGAGGGGAGTTGTGAGCTCCGAACTTGGGGCTTTAGGTACGGTGACTCTTCTTGTTACGTAATTTCTTATTCAGATCAATGAAATATTGTAGGACTATGCCTATATATTCATTCTGATTTGTGCATTTATTTTTTGGATGAATATGTGTATGTGAACTTGCCGCTGTGATTTTCTTTTTCTAAAATCAGTGATATTTATCTAGGAAAACTGAAACTTTCTGGAATATGTCCCTGTAATCTTTGCGTTCGTACTTAACACGTATTGATTAAGCAGGCATTGTGAATTTATCACGTTGGAGGATCAACTCAACATTGAGTTTCCTCAATTTAGGCTCCCTATTTAGTTCTATTTAGTTCTATTTTTCATGAAATGCTCTCTTGCTTTGATCTTGTATTTCCAGGAAAGAGATGATTTTTGTTTGTTACTGTTTCTCCAAAAATCCTCTTGTGCCTTCGCAAGTATAAAATTTGGATGCGGGCTTACCATTTATTTTACAGAAAGTAAAAAAAGGAGGACTTTTCTAAAAACCCTCTCTTTCTTCATGATCGCCCTGTGGATGCAGGGAAGAATGTTGGATTAAAATTGAAATCTACACTTTCAAGCTATTTGAAAGAAAGAGGGATACATTTTGCAGAATGGATTACGAAATCTGTTTTGGACAACTCTAAGGACTTAAACATTATGGTGACTTAAAATTAACAAATCCTAATTGAACTAAATAATTTACAATTTAAAATAAATTTGTAAGAATAAAATGTATCCAAATTAAATCAAACATGTTTATTGTTAAATTAAAATACTTTTTATTGGTCGATCTAGAAATTAAAATATTGCAGAATTAAAGACTTTACCTTAATTAACATTAAAATTAACGTGAACAGTAATTAAACTAACATACTTGAAGTTGAAAAGAAGTGTGAACATGTTTACACCATATATTGCAAAATTTTAAATTAATGTCATGTGTAAAATTTTTTTTATTGGTTGGAAGAGTTTGAGCCATGTCAAATTAGGATTCTGGGCTCCATGACAGATCAACACTTGTGTTGGCAAAATAAGAGAGGTAAAGATAATTTTTTATGGAGTAATTATCTTCTTGACACAGAAAGGGATAATGGGAGCTGGAAAATAGGAGAAGATTGCAATTAAAAAGTGGGTTTTATCTGATAAGAGTACATGTGGCGAAATCTGCAAGGAGATTAGACCAAGTCAAAAGGTGAGGTGTCTATTACTTCAAGAAACAACTCATGATTGAGTAACTGCATAAAGTGGAATTTACTGTCAACACAAGGGGAACAAAAAGGAAATTTTGGAAGGAAGAACAGATGGTCAGCTCTATTCAAACATCTGCAAATTTTCATACTTTTAGTTTCTCTGCAAACTGCTTTCAGATTTCGAATTTCAGCATAGATTCCATTAGAATTAGATTGTTTTTCATCATTCCAGTAGGCAAATTAATTCATATATTCAGCTCAACAATTTCCTTTCATGCAATTAACTTCAATCTTTCAAGTTTATGTAAGGTATTATTCTCTTTTTATTTGCAATTAATTTAATGTTTATGATAAGTAGCATTTTATTTAATGATTACTTATGTGGTGTTCATACCTCTTTTCAACCTCAAGCATGGTAGTTTAATTACTGTTCACATTAATTTTAATGTTAATTAGGATGAAGTCTTTAATTCTGCAGCACTTTTAATTTCCAAATCTGCCAGTACACAGCATTTTAATTTAACAATGAATATGTTTAGTTTAATTTGGGTACAGCTTTTTCTCGTATATTTACTTTAAATTACAAGTTATTTAGTTCAATTAAGATTTGTTAATTTAAGTCGTGGTAGTGTTTAAGTCCTTGGAGTTGTTCAAGGTAGATTTCGTAACCCATTCTGCAAGAAGGTATCCCTCCCTCTTGCAAATCGTCTGAAGGTGCAAATTTCATTTTAATTCAATATTCTTCTCGCCATCTGCAAAGAGGTCGACCGTGAGTAAGGAAATGGTCGTTGGGAAAGTCCTTTTTTTTTACTTTCGGCAAAGTAAGTGGTACGCCTGCATTCAGATTTTACACGTGTGAGTCCATTAGAGGATTTTTTGGAAAACAGAACACCACATAAGTAATCATTGAATAAAATGCTACTTATCATAAACATTAAATTAATTGCAAATAGAAAGAGAATAGTACCTTGCATAAACTTAAAAGATTGAAGTTCATTGCATGAAAGGAAATTGTTGAATTGAATACATGAATTAATTTGCCTATTGGAATGATGAAAAACAACCTAAATCTATCGGGATTTGTGTTGAAATTTGAAATCTGGAAGCAATTTGCAAAGAAAATAAAAGTTTGAAAATTTGCAGATGTTTGAGTAGGGCTGGCTGTGTGTTCTCCCTTCCAAAATTTCATTTTTGTTCTTCTTTGGCCGACAGTAACCCCCCACTTTCTACAGTTACAAAGTTGTGGTTGGTTTTTTGAGGTAGTGGGACAGCTCACCTATTGACTTGGTCTGATCTCCTTCTAGATTTTTGTCACCTGGGCTCTTATTAGATAAACCCCCTCTTTAACTGCAATCCTCTCTTATATTTTAGCTTAAACAGTTCTTTTTTACCTCAAAGAGATAATTACACAATAAAACCTCATGTTTATCTCCCATTTTTTACCAAAATCAGAATTGATCTATCATGGGATTCAAAATTACAAATCTGACTTGGTTTAATCTCCTCCATCCACTAAAAAATATTTTACACGTGACTTTATTTTAAAATTTTACAATTTATGATGTAAACATTGCTCCCCAACACTTGATTTTATGGATATAAATTCAAGTGTTTTAATTAAATAAATTGTTTTCATCCCCTTAATTACCCAAGCCACATGTCAATTTCTCTCTAATAAGCAACTCCTAAAATATCTCATGCACCAATTTTCTAGATCGACCCCAGCCACTCATTTTTCAAAATTCATTTAACTTTCAAATCCAAAAGGTGAGGAAAGTTGAACTTACTTTAATCCTTTCCTATATCGTGGGTCATTATCGGCTGCTACCCCATTTTTTTTTTTTTTTAATATCCTAAAAGTAAGGAAAAGTCAATTTACTTTAACCTTTCATCTTCCTCGGTACCACATCGCTGCCATCACTGTCGGCTATTTCTCTTCCTCTTTTCATCCATCCACCGAACAACTTCCTCCATTTTTACAATTGTTTTAACTTTTAAACTTCCAAAAAATCCCCAAAATTAAGGGCTTTTTGAAAATCAAATGTCAAAAACTCTCTTTTAACCTTCTTCTTCTGGTCACTGCCGATTGTTTCTCCTCTGCTTTCCTCGCCCAAATCTGCTCTATCCATGGCCAACAACCCACAAGAACAGCCTTCTCCCATCGAATCTGCTGCTGCCATGGCTGGAACCAAGTCTTTTCATCCTAAGAAGCTGCCTCCTGCAGATCTAGTGAGCCTCTTCCAAACCAAAAACCTCTAAAGTGAAATCAAACAAGTTCTTCGACACCATAAAATAAGCCATTCAGATCAAATGTTTGTTTCCCACATGAACTCTCAAATTTTGGGTCCATATTTCATTTCTCCTCCACCCTTTTCACTCAAATTCCTTTACCCACAGTCGAAAGAACACCTCCTCCCTTTCCAGGTGAAACCCGATTGGAGCAAGTGGGTTGGGCATTTTGGGACTTGGCCGGCTTGGAAGAGATCGGAATGGGTTGATTGGGTGAACCGTCTTGAACCTGCCTTCAACCAGATCTGGAGGGATGTGGGTTTGTTTGAATTTATGCAATTAACCACGTGCAGATTTTCCATGGACAAGCCGATCTTGAGTTTGGCTTTGCTATTTTGGTCTGGCTCTTTTAATTGCTTTCATTTCCCTTGTGGTGCCATGTCTGACCCTATTTTACATCAGTTTATTAACCGGGTTACCTTGCACGGGAGAAGAAGTTTCAACACTTCTAACCTTGCCACCAGGTGTTGAATACAACTCCACAGATATGAAGCCTTCTTATCCGCTTCCTGAGATCTGCTTCTGACAAAAATAAGCCTGTCAGCGCTCAAGAACACATCTCATTTCTGCTTGCACTAATATGTAAGTATATGGTTTGTTCTGCTGGAAAGGGTCCCACTAAAGAATTTATTCCATTAGCTGCTGCAATAGCTCATGGTAGACGTTTTGCTTTGGGTCCTTTTCTGGTTGCTTTTCTGTATAGAAGCTGCCAGGATGTCACGGCTTATCCTCTAGGTAGTAGTGGTGGGCCACTTTGAGTGTTGCAGTTGTGGCTTTATTCCTATTTTCCAACACTTGCTCCTATTTTATTTGTTGTCCCAGGTCAGGATTTGCTTATCTACGGCTTCATGTTTAGAGATGCCGTGGAAAACAAGAAAAGTTTTGAAGATTGTTTCAGGTTTTTGCTTCCCTTCTAATCAACCGACTTGATGTAGATTTTGCTGTCTTTCTCAACAGATCTCACGGCCCTTCATGGTACAAGGCCGATTTGTAGTCTCTAGATTTCAAAGCATTCTGGTCCGTCTGTGTGCCGTTGAGGGATTTGTTTGTCGGTTACAATCTGACAGTTCTCAATTCCAAATGTGGGATGGAGTTATATGTGCCAAACCAATTCTGTCGGCAACTTGGATACTACTAAGACATTCCATTCCTGCCATTGTTTTCTTTCAACCACAGCTACCCTCTTCGGTTTGTGATAGGAGAATCAGATACCTTAACCTCCACTCTTGCCAAAATCACCCAAATCTTGCAAATCATGATCTGCCAGACCTTCCATTCCAATCGAGCTGCACTTCCTCTTATGAAACTTGGTGGCATGGATACTTTCAACCTTGGTTTCTAGGAGTTTTAGATAACATCTCTACTTTAGTTCCTCCGCCACTCATTAAGAAATCTAGAGAAAAGGGTGTTGTAGAGGAAAGTGGTGATCTGGAATCTGCCTTGACCATCCATTCTAAAAAACCAAATCTGCCAAGGAGTATTTCCAGAATTCAAACCAAGAGAAAGATTACCATTTCTACTAATTCTTCAGAGGAGTATACCCCCTCCAAGCAGCAAAGAACTAGAGGTAAATCTGCTTTGGTTTGCAACTTTGTGAAATACTCTTTGCTAACCTTCTTTTCTTTCCTTTTTTTTTTTTTTTAGGAATCAAGAGGTCAACAGTGAAACCTACAGCTACCAAGAAACTCATCAAATCTGCCTCTCCATCAGAATCCACTTCTGCCACGGAAACCCAGATTCAGCCTAACAAAATAGAAGATGTTTCTCCAAAGCCAGATCATGTTGAAGAAAAAATTATTGCAAGTGATGAAGGTGATTCTGCCCCCTTGCCTACAAAATCTGGCAATGGTTCTTCTCCAGCCACAAAGGTTAGGGGTTTTAGATTCTCTTTGTGCATAGCTACTAAAAGCTTTAAAATAGTTAGACCGAATGAACTTATCGATCTAAGCTAGAAAAAGAGAATGTTCCTACACTTATGGCTTCTCTCGTTAGGCAGGTTTATGTTGATGACTCTGAGGTTGTTTTACTGTTCTAAATCTGTGTAGATTTTGAATTCTGGCATTGTGTCTTGTAGTTGATAATTTTGGACTTTTGCTTTCAAATTTGTGTAGAGCTTTGCTGTTGATGTTTCTGTGGTTGATGATGACTTGGAGGATGAGCTTCTTGCTAGGTTAGACATGTTGATGGACCCATGTGTCAAATCAAAATCTGCCTCGGATAGCAAAGGGAAATCTGTTGCTAAGGAGACAAATCTGGATACTGATCCCCCTTCCCAAGAGCAGATTAACTTCGCCATTTTAACCTTGCAGGAGCTTGTTGATGGTGATCTTTCTCATTTTTGCAGGGTGCCAAATCGACCAGCCGCTTTTGAAGCGGCTCAAATTCTTAGCCGAGCTCCACATTTGTCATTTGCTAAACACAAATTTTGGGTAGAGTTCTCTATCATTTATGCAGATTTCAACAATAAATTCCTGGCACTTGAGAGCAAGGTAGCAGCTACGGAATTTGTCAGGAAGTCTGTAGCAGATGGCACTGCCGTGGTCTTTAAGAAGAAGGAAGAATTCTTGGCAGCAAAGGATGCTCATGTGGCACAGATCAAACACCTCCATGACCTTAAGGAAGAAATTTCTAACCTTGAAGCTAAGCTTGCAGAATTGAGAAGCCAAGTTCCTCTTGTAGAGCAAATGGAAAAGAATCTGGCAGAACAATGGAACAACCTCTGAGCAGATATGGAGGCTAGCTTGAAATATGTTTCCAAGATCAAGGATCAACTCCTTTTTTTCACAGCTTTTGCAGATGAAGCCGTTGAAGAACTCAAGAACATGAGAGAAGAATGGAATAGTTGGCAAAGCAACTTTTGTTGATTTCTTCTTATATGTATCTCTTTTTCTCTTTGTTAGCTGAACTTGCATATTGTGACCCTTGAACTTATTGTTTGTGGCCTATTGGCCATGCAAACTCCTTTTTCAATGTTGATCTCTTTCTTTGCTCATATTTTGGAAATCTCCTTGTTGCACATTCTGTTCATACTCTGCTACAAGTTGAAATTTGTCATTGCTGAACTTTGACCACCCTGGTTGCTCACAGCCAGATTTGGCTTACTTACAAATTTGGCTCAGCATTTTCTATGAAATTGGAAAATGGTTAAAGCAAAAGGAAAATACTATACAATTTCTACCTCAAAATCTGATTTAGGTAGAATTCGTGGTATCTAGACCTTTAGCCTCCCACACCATAGGATAGTAGGGCTTAAGGTAAACTCCATTAATCTTTCGAGGATGTAATTCTCTATCTAATGACTTAAGCTAGTATGCTCCCCCTCTAAGCATTTTATGTATACGAAATGGTCCTTCCCAATTTGGAGACCTTTTCCTAAATCTGGGATCTTTCTTTCCAGGTGGCAGAATTACTTTCCATACCAGATCTCTTTCTACTAGACTTCTGGATTTCACCCGTTTATTATATGCTCGAGCCACTTTTAATTTTTGCATTTGTAGCCTATCTAAGGCTGTCAATCGCATGCCTTCAAGATCTTCTAACTCTAAAATCGTTGCCTCATTATATTCTCTAAAAGTGAGACCATTTTAAATCGCTATATGCAATGATCTGGCAGACAACTCCACGGGCAGAACAACATCATGTCCATAAGTTAAAGAAAAAGTAGTTACCTTGGTAGAACTCCTTTGTGAAGTTCTGTAAGCCCAAATTGTGTCAGATAACAACTCATGCCAACACCTTGGATTATCATCCACCATTTTTCAAGCAGATTTATCACAATTCTATTGGAAGCTTCAGCTTGACCATTAGCTTGAGCATAATGAGGGGTTGAAGCGAGTAATCAAAAACCCATTTCTTTTGCAAACGCCTCGACTTGTGCACCAACGAAAATTGTCCCCTGATCTAATGTTACTATTTTTGGCAGACCGAATCTGTGAATGATATCTTCCTTAAGAAATTTAATGATATCAATCTGGTCAACCTTCTTTATTGGCTTTGTTTCCACCCATTTGGTAAAAGTAATCTGTAGCAACAATAATAAAAGAATGCCCTCTAGTTGAAGGAGGGTAAACTTTACCAATCAGATCTATGGCCCATTCTCGAAATGGCCATGGTTTGATAATTGGATGGAGTTCTGATGCTGGAACTTTCTGCAGTGATCCATGAATCTGGCAGGCTTTGCAACCTTTGGCATAACTGAGGCAATCTTTCAAAATTGATGGCCAAAAGAATCCATGTCTACGGATCAACCAACGCATCTTAATTCCAACCTGATGTGCACCACAGATCCCGTTGTGCACATCTGATATAATCTGGCAGTACTCATCTGGACCAAGACAGCGCAGAAGTAATTCATCATGCCCTCTTCTATAAAGAACACCTTCCAACAGAACATAGTTCAAGGCCTACATTTTTGTTCTTCTTAAGGCCTTAAAATTTGGATTTTTGAGATATTCCATGATCGGATAGCGCCAATCTATCTATGTTACGTCTATGGAACAAGCAGAAATTGCCATACCACGCATGTGAATAGATGGCAGAATTCGTTTTCCCACAACAACAATTATGCTCATCACGCCTTCTGGGATTTTTAAGCCTGAGGTGATTTGAGCCATCTCATTTGCTTCTGTATTCAGATCTCGTGTAACATGTCTCAAGATTACATTAGCAAATTCCTCCAAGAGCTGTATAGCCAAAGCAAAATAAGGCACCGAAGACAAACTAGTGCACTTGTACTCACCTTCTAATTGCTTTAAAATCAATTATGAATCACCAATAATTTCTACCATAGGTACCTTGAGTTCTACCAATACTTCTAGCCCAATAATCAACGCCTCATATTCAGCTTGGTTGTTGGTGCAATTAAAATCTAGTTGAAATAACATTTGGGTTTTCAAACTAGTTGGAGAAATAATAACAATTCTTACTCCAGACATGGAATCTGTGCTAGATCCATCAAAGATAAGCTTCTAAGGTACCAGATTTATGAAAAATAAATTAATACATTTTTCTTCATCTGCTTCTACTTCCAAGTACAGATGATCTGCTAGGAAATCTGCCAAGGCTTGCCTCTTGACAGCTTTTTGAGGCATATATTTCAGGTTGAATTCTGACAAAGCCAGAACCCATTTTCCAATTCTACCTCTCAACAGTGGTCGAGATAACATGTACTTTATCACATCTGTTTTTGAAATAATATAATCCTCGGAATAAAGCAAATAATGTCTCAATTTTATTGCAGCAAAAAACAAATCAAGACATAATTTCTCAATTGAAGAATATTTCACTTCGGTCTGTGACAGACTTCGACTCAAATAATAAACAGCTTGTTCTTGCTTTCTACTATTCTCTTGAGCCAGCAAACAACCTATAGATTCATCTACGGAAGATATATACAAAATCAAAGGTTTGCCTCTTAGATGAGGCACTAAAACCGGCGGTTTTGATAAATAATGCTTTATTTCCTCACAGGCGGTTTGGTGGTGCCTCTCCCACTTGAAATTTGCTTCTGATTTCAGCTTCAGCAGTGGCGAAAAAATTCTTGTCTTTCCTGTCATATTTGAAATAAAACATCTTAAGAAATTTACTTGCCCAAGGAATCTTTGTAATTCTTTCTTACTTCTTGGTGGTTGTGCCTCAATAACAGCTCTTGCCTTGTTTAGATCTACTTCCAGATCTCGCTCATGCACTAGATATCCCAAAAAATTCCCAACAAAAATGCCAAATGCACATTTTAAAGGATTCAGCTTTAGACCATGCTTCCTCATTCTTTCAAAAGCTAGCTTTAAATGCATCAGATGCACCTCAACCTCATTAGACTTCACAACCACATCGTCAATATAAATCTCCATAAAACGGCCAATCATGTCATGAAAGATGGCGTTCATGGCTCTTTAATAAGTTGCACCCGCACTTTTTAAACCAAATGGCATTACTACCCATTCATACGTACCAATAGCTCCTAGGTAGTGGAAAGTGGTCTTTGGGATGTCCTCTTCTGCTATACAAATCTGGTTATACCCACTGTGGCCGTCCAAAAATGACAGAATTCAATGGCGTGCTGCACCATCCACCAGAAAATCTGCAATAGGCATAGGATATTCATCTTTTGATGTCGCCAGATTCAGATTTCTAAAGTCCACACAGATTCTCAATTTGCCGTTCTTTTTAACCACGGGGACCACATTAGATAACCACTCCACATATCTGGAGGTTTTGATGAAACCAACCTTTAGCAGCCACTCTATCTTTTCTTTAACGTTCAAAGTGACTTCTGGAGACATTCGTCTAGGCGGCTGCTTGAAATGTTTAAAGTTTTCTCTAATGGGTAATTTGTGCTCCACCATATTTCTGTCCAGACTTGGCATTTTAGAATAATCCCAAGCAAAACAATTCTTATATTCATACAAGATACTGATGATTTTATCATGCAAACACGGCTCAAGAGAATCGCTAATAAAAGTAATTTTTGGATCTGCCTCAGTACTTAGATTTACCTCTTCTAGGGGATCTTGTACTTCTGCCTTCAGATCATCGAGTTTTGCTGGTGCTAGATCTAATTCCTCTAGAGTTATCTGATCCTTTGAGTCATCCTCTTCTTCTTCATAGACTACCTCAGATTTGTCTACACAGATCCGTTTTTCTACAAGGTAAGCCACTAATTTTCTTTTGATTTCTTCCACGGCCTCTTTTTTCTGGTGCTTAATGCGATCCTTCTTCATGGAATTTCTTCAATTTCAGATTTCTTCCTCGGCCTAAAAGGAACAATTGCTATAGGCTGAAGAAGTTCATCACAAACCTCCTTCATAGTCTATCTGTTCAATGCAGATCTGGTATGGGCAGTAATTCTAGAAGGTCTGCCATAACGGTCCACCCCAAAGAAATGGATAGTCCCAATATCTTCATCATAATAACGAGCTTCTACTGCATTGGTATTTGCCACAAAAGGCTTGTCATTTGTTGTCACAACCTTAGTTCTGCCACCATTCCAAAATATCGATTTTCTGGTGCAAAGTTGAAGGAGCACACCAATTGGAATGTATTCAATCTCTCCCAAGCAATGCATTATAAGTGGCAATGGTGTTAACCACAAAGAATGCACACATGAGAGTCCTATTCCCAACAGTCAGTTCTACCAGCAGAATTCTCCTTAAGCGATTTAGCCCAACAGTAAAGTCATTGATTGTCACTTCTGTCTCCATTAAATCACCCAAAGATTTGCCAATTTTGTGCAACATACAAGTTGGCAAAACATTCACAGCTGCTCCATTATCAACTAGAACTTGACTTATTGGCATACCATCTAGATGTGCATGAATGTACAATGGCCTGATATGTCTGGCCATCCTCTCTTTTGGTTTTTCAAAAATGATTTTATCTGCTGAATCCAGATCTCCATCTTCCTTAGCTGGGATCTCAATGACTCCTTCTTCCTCAACTTGATCTGTCTATTGATAGACTGCAGATTCTGACTGTTTTCTAGCTTGAAAAACCAAAGGAAGAGTAATCACCAAACAAGATAAATTCACGAAAAATTCACCAAAATGAATTACATCTGATGAATTTTCCACTTTATCTGACATGTCAAACTTTGCCTTTAAACCGGTTTCTTCATTTGATTCCACAACTAGAACTCGAGGCGATGTTGGATTTCTGGGTGGTTCCTCATTTTCTAGAGAATTATGACAAGATGTGCTCCCTTTTTCTTTACGGACCCACATTGATTTCCTTCTTGCTGGGAGCTGTTGAGTTTGATCTGCCATGCCCCCCAAGTCTGCAATCTGCTGTCGGTGTCTATCTACTGCCCTTTTATGTTGTAAGCGCCTCCTCAAGGTCTTTAGATCCTGACCCTTTGGGAATTTTGGATGCACCACATGTTTCCATTATTTGCTTGAAGATCTGAGTGGTGGTTTCACCATTCTAGGCTTTTCTGCACGTCTAGATATCGTAGTTCCCTGATTTGCATTATTTTTCTATTGAGTTGGGTTGTGCCTCCCGTGCCCTCTCCTTCGGGATGGGCCTGATTTGACCTGATTTCTACGGGCCCTTGCCTCTTCAATGACCCGCCTTTTCAATGACCCACCTCATATCATCAATTGCAAGTCTCTGGTAATGCTCTTGAGATCTGCTACATTTACCCCAATGGACATGTTAGGGAATGGATCTGCATCAACTCCCATAGTTTCTATGGCCTTATTTGGAAAACCCAGAATGCCCTTGTTAATTTTATCTTGTAAAACATTCCAAAAAATCACACAGTCATTAGTGGAATGTTTCCAAGAATTATGATATTTGCAATATTCTTTATTGCCAATTTCGCCAGCCATTGGGATTTTATGCCTCGGCGACAACTTAATTAGACCACTCTTTTTAAAGTGGTCAAAGATTTCATTAGTCTTTGAAATGTCAAAGGTGTATTGTTTTCCAGCCCCTCCGACATAACGTTTTACTGTTTTGTCAATCTATTGGGCCACTATAATCAGATCTAGGCAAACAACTGGCTTGTCTACCACCAGTTTTGCCACATCCAGATCAAAGTTAGCATCACCATAATAAGTCCCATGAGATGCAGATTTCCTTTGTGTGTCCTCTCACAATAAACTTTCATAACGAGCCACCTTGTAAGACAACTCAAAGAAATCACGAAACTTCATTCCTTCAAACTTTTTCCTTAACTCAATGTCCAGACCATTTTGTGCCAACTTGACAAATTTTTGTTCTAGCAGGGCAACTCTGCACTTAAGTCTGGCCTTTCGAAATCTAGCAAGAAAGGCCTCAGATATTTCTCCAAGTCGCTGCATCAGACGAGATAAATCTGCCATGGACACTTCTGGCTCACTGCAGTAAAACTGGATATGGAAAAGATCTTCCATCTGCCTCCAACCATAAACTGAATTCTGTGGCAGACTCAGATACTAGGTGAGAGCTGTACTAATTAAAGAGTTGGGAAAAAGTCTGAGTTTCAGATTATCATCACCGGAGGCCTCGCCACACTAAATTGTGAAGTGACCTATGTGTTCAATTGTAGAATATCCACCATCTCCAGAAAATAGAGTGAATTCTAGAACCTTGAACCCCCTTGGAAAAGGATTCTCTTGGTCTATGAAATTTGGATATGGTTTTCTATAAACTGGTTTGACTAGAGGCTTTAAAACTGGACCATAAACCTCTTGCACCAGATCAATGATCTGATCATGATTAATGTACTGCCTTGGCAGACCTTGAAGATTCTGTTGCATGGGTGGCACATAAGGTTGAAAATGCTCCCTTAATGGAGGTGCATTATGTTGTGGGTGTCCTTTATTTGGTCAGCGTGGAGGTGGCAGATATCTGGGCTGCTGGTGATTTCCCAGATCTGCTAAACGTGGTGTAGCCTCAACAGGATCTAGTTGCACTAGTCCGCCTGCTACTTGCTGAATCTGGGGAGGTGGTTGTGGCAGATTAACTTGCCCCCCGAGTGCTGGAATTGGAATATTCTGATTCTGCCTTTGAAAGATCTACTACTTGTGGTTGAGGTTCAATTCTGACACATCGAAATGCCTCCTGCATTCGTTTTGTTTCAACTTGGAAAGCTCTCCAATTTTTTGCATTTTGCTCACTCCAGATTTTGGCACTTTCTTCATTAGAACGCCACATGTTAGCTATACTTTGAGCTATACTTTAGGCCAAATTCTGAGCCAGATTCTAAAAAGACTCATCCAATGGTCTAGCAACCTCTTGGCTTCTTTGTTGAGCTCTTTCCTTAGATTCCAACTGTGTGCGCCTCATGATGCTAATCTGCTTTGACACAGTTTTCATAAGGAAGTCACTAGATTGAGCAACATCGTCACCAGATTGATCAACATCATCTCCAGATTCACTGTCCTTGTTGAAGGTTGGATTGACAAAAGAGTGTTCCCCAAGTATTTGTGACAATGGTGGTGGAATGAGTGGCTCATTCTCTCCTTCTAAGTGTGCTAGACTACCTTCACCAAGCCCAATCTGTAAAGTCTGGGCAGCCTTCCCAATGTTTCTTTTTAGTGGCATAATTGCACTTTTTCTTGGAAAAGGGAACAACGGATCTGAAAACTATGAGTAAGACACGATGAGGTCCCACTAGGCGTGCCAAAAAAGGATTGTTTCCCCAAAAATCCTCTTGTGGCCTCGCATGTGTGAAATCTGGATGCAGGCATGCCACTTACTTTGCTGAAAGTAAGAAATGAGGACTTTCCCAACAACCCTCTCCTTCCTCACAGTCGACCTCCTTGCGGATGGCAGGAAGAACGTTGGATTAAAATTGAAATCTATGCCTTCAGACGATTTGCAAGAGGGAGGGATACCTTCTTGCAGAATGGGTTACGAAATTTGCCTTGGACAACTCCAAGGACTTAGACACTATTGTGACTTAAAATTAACAAATCCTAATTGAACTAAATAACTTGCAATTTAAAATAAATTTGCAAGAATAAAATGTACCCAAATTAAATCAAACATGTTTATTGTTAAATTAAAATGCTAACTATTGGCAGATCTGGAAATTAAAATGTTGCAGAATTAAAGATTTTACCCTAATTAACATTAAAATTAACGTGAATAGTAATTAAACTAACATGCTTGAAGTTGAAAAGAAGTGTGAATACCACATAAGTAATCATTGAATAAAATGCTACTTATCATAAACATTAGATTAATTGCAAATAGAAAGAGAACAGTACCTTACATAAACTTGAAAGATTGAAGTTCATTGCATGAAAGGAAATTGTTGAACTGAATATATGAATTAATTTGTCTATTGGAATGATGAAAAACAACCTAAATCTACCGGAATTTGTGTTGAAATCCGAAATCTGGAAGCAAGTTGTAGAGAAAATAAAAGTCTGAAAATTTACAGATGTTTGAGTAAGGTTGGCCGTGTGTTCTCCCTTCCAAAATTTCCTTTTTGTTCTCCTTTGGCTGGCAGTAACCCCCCACTTTTTGCAATTACAAAGTTGTGGGTGGTTTCTTGAGGTAGTGGGACAGCTCACCTATTGACTTGGTCTGATCTCCTTTCAAATTTTCGCCACTTGTGCCCTTATCAGATAAAACCCCTCTTTAACTGCAATCCTCTCCTATATTTTAGCTCAAACAGTCCCTTTTTACCTCAAAGAGATAATTACACAGTAAAACCTCATGTTTATCTCCCTTTTTTTTTTACCAAAATGACAGTTGATCTGTCATGAGCAGTGTTGTCAAAATCTAGATTTAAATCTTAAAATCTTACGATTTTACGATTTCAGTAAGGTATTTTGTGTAAAATCTATACTAAAATCTAAAATCAGGTAAAATCTCGATCTTACTGTGAAATCAGGTAAAATCTCGATCTTACTGTGAAATCAGGTAAAATCTCGATTTTACCTTCTGTTTGGCAATTGGACTTTTTGCCTATTTCCTTTTGGGTTTTTCATCTTGGATTAGTGAGTTTTGACTAGATAATCCATAAATTAAGCTCATTTTTCATTTTAAAAGCCCACGACCCACATAACTCAACCACAAATCAACATTTTAATCGAGAATTCGGGACAAATTTAATTTAACCATCTAAAATTCTAAATTTAAGTCATCTTCTTCGTTTAATTTATTTGTGTTGTTGGATATTTAGATTTTAATTAGCTAATTTCAAGTTTCCAACTCTAAATTTGATTTATTGTTATTTAATTTTAATTTTATATAATTTATTATATATTATATTAAATTTTGTAAAATCTCGATTTTACCGATTCGATTTTACGATTCCGATTTCACCTAGCCAAAACGATTTTAAGTAAAATCTCGATTTTGACAACCTTGGTCATGAGATTCAGAATTACGAATCTGACCTGGCTTAATCTCCTCCATCCACTAAAAAATATTTTACACGTGGCTTTATCTTAAAATTTTACAATTTATGGTGTAAACAGTTACACTCTTGGATTTTACATGTTCTGGGTTTCAATTCCACCCAATCATCTGAATTTGCCTCTGTTTAATCCTTTCACTCACTATTGGGTCTTGTCTTAGCCATGGTCTAGATTGGGTCAACTAGGTTGGCTTGATCCAAGTTTTTTTAAAGCCTCTAGGTTGGGCTTGTGGATAGGCCCGTATCTTGTTTTTCTGTCTACAATGCTTTTCTCTCTAGGCCATAACCCAATCATTTTAAATCCATTTTATTTCTTAAAAAAAAAAAGATTTTTATTTTAATGTTTTGATTATCACATGATGAATGGAAGTGATTAATCAAATTGAGCTTTGACCCGAACCCAATGGGATAGCTCAACTGTTAAGAGTTTAAGACTTTAAATTAGAAATTTCAAATTTAAATCTCTTGAGTTGGGTGGAGAAAGATTTGAGAATATGAGATTTGAGAATATGAGAGGTTATCTCCTTTTCTATAATCCATCATTAGATGTACTAACAAAAAAACAATTAAGCTTTGACCCTTAGTCAAATATTTGAATGGTTCACAGTCAAACTAAAAGAAAAAAAACAAAGAAGTGAAACTTCAAATTTCTCAAAAAAAAGTAAAATGAAGTAAGGATGAAATGGGCGGAACCCATGGGCGGGTGGATGAGTTGACTGGGACTCTTTCAGCTTAACCAGAGGTCTTGAGTTCAAGTCTTGGGAAAAGACTCATGAGGGAGAGCTTTGCCGCCTGTTGGGTCCTGCCCGGCTTGAATCCGGATTAGTCGGTGGCCTAATGGATTTCCAAATACCGGATGGTCCATACCAAAAAAAGGATGAAATGGGCGGAACAAAATTTTGCCCTAAGGCTTTCATTTTCAATTTTGTTTCATTTGGATGTGCATGTTTGTCACTTGTCTTGTTTAAGCCCAAAACCTTTTAAGTGTTTCAATTTCATCCATTTGTGCTTCTGACATCATCCAAGAAAAATTTTAAATAAAAGACTTAATTAGTTCAATTAACTCCCAAATCTTAAATTATGCAACTGTATTCTAGATGAATGATTGTGTGGTGTGCATATATCCTTCTGAATCTTAACCATACCCACAAATCTCAATTTCTCGTAAACCATGGTAATTATTTGAGTAGTTGTCGACTCTTTTTTTCAACCATTAAAACTTAATTTTTTAAATTTATTTTCTTTTTAAAATTTTAAATTGGGGAATCAACACTATTCTAAGATAATTTTGAGCTTATTTCCATTTGAGCATTAAGAGAGAAATAAATGGATGCTAAGGCCAAAAAACTAATTTGATACCCTTACAAGATTGCTAAACATAAATTTTAGCAAACAACACGTAATGTTGCGATATCTATCCAACCTTTGTTAGGTTGCCTAGAAAATTATAGGGAAAAACTACTGTCCATAAATTTTCTCAAAAGCAAATGCTAAGTTCAAATCCAATAATAACCAACCATTTTCCAACCAACAAGCAGCTATCACAATGGAAAGAACAATTCAACTTAAACTAGAATTTGAAGAAATGTTCCGTAACGTTGCTTTGAATGACATAGGCAAGTAACAGGGATAGAAAATGAAGCGAAATTCCAAAGGACAATTAAAACTATACCAAAACACACATTTCAAAAAGAAGAACGAAACAATATCTAATCCATATAAAACATAGACAATGAGGGTTAGAGGCTTACGGAAATGAGTAGCTTCTTGGCTATGAAAAAGAAGAAATATGCTGGAATTACTGCAAGTTATGAAAAGAAAAAAGATTTGAGTTTTGTAATTAATGAAGAAACCCCTTTTTTTTTTTTCTATTACGATCTTGATTGCATAGAGAGATTTTATTTTAAATCTGGTAAAAAGGAATAAATCCCATCTCAAGTTATCCCATTGGGAGATGGGATAACTTTTATCTCATTGGCTTAGAATAGTACAAAAAGTAGGATATGCTTTATCCAATTCATTAACATCCCTAAGTGTAGATTATTGACCGGTGAGGATTAATTTTTATCATCCCATGATTAGTCAAGGGTTCCAAGCACACCTTTAAAGTATGAAAAATCTGTAGTTTGGTAATTGCTGGAGAAGGTGCCCGCAATCTTGAATTAAAGTGCCAAGAACATGATGTTCCGCAGAGTGTTGGTTAGTTACAAATTAGAATGCAACAAGGGAATTAGTTTCGACATCAATTTTAGTAAAGTTTCTCTCCAAAGTAATAGAAAGGCCATCTTTGATTCTTGATTGGGGTCTACAATTTTAGTAAAGTCTCTCTCCGAAGTATTAAGGTCATCTCTGATTCCTAATTAGGGCCAAAAGGGACTGGACAAACTCTATTCCATAATCCATGCATTAGGAACAATAGGACAATCTCTCAATCAATGAATAAAGTAGAGTTTCCACATCAAGTGAGCTTCTAGGACAAATGGTTGTGGTACCATGGAAAGCCAAGAAATCAAGAGAGGGCAAATACACAACGAAAGGCACAAAACTAGTTATCTATTATATTTATAGATTTAACATAACGTCTCCAAACTTAGAACGGGATTCAGGCGGCAAATCACAGATTCGAGCTAATGCAAATAGTTTTGTCAAAAAGAACAAACACAACCTAGATCGTGTCCTTCCTGCACCCAGCTCTTGTGGTGTAGCATAAGCAAGCACCTCGATTCAATTTCAATCCCAGGCAGAAGCTTCCATCCCCTTCATCATTTGAAGATTGGAAATTTGTGCTTTCGACATCATTCGGGAAAACATAGGCCAAAAAATAAAATAAAACAAAATAAAATTGATGTTCAAAATATTCACAACGAGAAAAGCCCTTTCTGAATCTGCTCGTAATCAACCAAGTAAGCAAACCCATATGCCATGTTTTTCAGGGTCGCCTCATGCAGCTCTGCATTATCAGTTGCCGTCGCATCGGTAGAGAAGAAAACCCTAAACCCTCTCATAAACGCATCTCGCGCCGTTGTTTCGCAGCACAAATTCGTCATCACCCCCGTCACAATCACCTCCTTCACACCCTTCTCTGCCAACCGCTCTTGCAAGTCTGTGTTCATGAACGCGTTGTACGTGTTCTTCTCCACTACCTCGTCGGCAGCTGCAAGTTGTCCAATCTCCGGAATCAGCTCCGAATCGGGGGAGCCATCGAGGATGAGGTCGCCATTCCACCACTCCTCAAGCATGCCATAATCAGTAGGGGACTTGTGGCAGTGGCGCGTGAAGAAGATGGGGATGGAGGCGCGGCGACAGAGGTCTACAATGAGGAGGGTATTGTTCATGATGGGTTTAGCCATGGAGGAGAAGTAATTTTGCATGTCAATTACTAATAAAGCTGAAGTTTTGGGATCTGGGTTTCTCTTTCTGATCACATATTTCTTGGATGAGGAAGAAGACGCCATTGATTTTGAGAAGGAAAAAAAAACATTCAGCGATGAAAAGGAGAAAGACAGGTAAAGATGCTAGAGCTGTAAAGTACTGTAAAATGAGATAATAGATTGTCCTTGATTCCTCAGATTTGATGGATTGGGTGGTGGATACCACTTTTAAAAGCTTGAAATATCAATTTGGTCCCTCAACATTTAGATTTATATCAAGTCCATCCTTAAACTTCATAAAGTATCAAAATTGCCCTTGAACTTCAATTTTTGATACCAAGTTCATCATTTTATCAATAAGTACTGATGATGTGACCAATATTCAGTACCAAAATTCGTTTTCTTTTTATTTGGAATATTGTATGGAAATAAGATAAAAATTCAAATGGTTATGTGGCAATTTTTCTTGTTTATGTGGCACCATCCATGTTAATATTTTCATATTTTAAAAATTAAAACAAGCATTGTGTCTTTCTTGATTCACAATTTAAAGCAGTTGATTTAAAAAATTAAATCATTAACTATGTTCAACTGTAACTAAACTTAAACTACTAAACAACTTACAACTAAAAAGCTAATAATTTAAATAATTTAGTAAAAATATCTTTCCAAAGGAAGTAAATCCTGATTATTGAGACCGTTGAGCACCACATAACCATGCATGAGGAGATTGCCAGAGGATGACACGTATCTTTGACGGATTTCACATGGCAAGGAGTAAATGCCTTCTAAATTTTGGTTTGTTCCCACATTTTGGGGACCTAGGCAAATTTTCTATTGATAAGTTATGGTTAAATGTTAAATTTGGTCCCTCAACTTTAAGAAATACACATTTTTGATCTTTCAACAATTTTTTGCACTTTTTTGATTCCTCAACTATGAGAAATGCACACTGTTAGTCTTTCTGTTAATTTGGGCCGTTAACTCTGCTCATGTGGCATTTTTTTATATATATTTTTTTTGATGATGTGGAGAGCAAAATTTAAAAAAGTGATGATATGGACAAAACTTTTTCCATGTCATGTTACTGTGGCCGAAACGCACCAAATCCACCCAAATGGGTCCCACATCACCACTAAGAATTGCTTCTTTGCCCATCGGTTACTGCTTTTGTTCTTTCCATCGACGATGTTCTTTCCATTTTCAAGATTAAAATCATTTAGCCAATACTTAAAAAATATGAAGAAAAGAATCTCAAAAATCGCTCACAACAACCTGCAATTTGGATAATTTCTTGGCAAACAAACATATAACAAAAAAAAAAAAAAAGTGGAGCTGGGTTCGACGAAACCCAACCTGGGTTCCACCGAACCTAGCTCGGTTTGTTGGAACCCAGTTGCCCAAAAATCCCTCACAACAACCTGCAATTTGGATAATCTCTTGGCAAACAATCATTTAACAAAAAAAAAAAAAAAAGGTGGAGCTGGGTTTGACGGAACCCAACCTAGGTTTCACCAAACCTAGCAGATTTGGGTTCGATGGAACCCATTTGCTGGGTTCGGTGCAACCCAATGGTTGGGTTTCGTCAAACCCATCAAATTGGGTTCGATGACCTGAGCTGGTGATGGGAATCAAGATGACCCTACATGTATCACGTCAAGAGATCCATTACATATTCCAAGAGGTCCAGTCACGAGAGCTAGAGTTAAGAAGATGCGAGAAGTTTTAAATGGCCTTATTGAGCAGATCTGGGTTGATAAGAACATGCACAAGTAAATCAAAGCTTGGATTATTGTCAAGGCATGATAA